TTCAGAGGAATTTGTCTGAGGGGTGTTTTCTTTCAGGGGGTCGGGAGGACAGCAATGGTGTGGTGCATCTCGTATATTGTGAGGGAGAACCTCCGATTTCTACTGAACTTTTCAGAAACTGTTCTTTGATTTGAGGAAGGAATTTCAAGGCCTGGCTGAGCTCAACTTGGATTCATTCTTCATTTTAAAAATGTGCATTTACTTAACTGAGCAAAGAAATTTAAATTAAGCCAGGAGTTAAGCATGGCATAGAATCTCCTAAAAAAGAAAACATAGCAGAGCATTCTAGTTTGTTTCTCCACTGCTGTAACAACACTCTGACCAATATGAATTTGGGGAGAAAAGAGTTTATTTGGCTTACATCTCCTGGGTCACAGTTCATGAGGGAGCCCAAGGTAGGAACTCAGGGCAGGACCCTGGAGGCAGGAGCTGAAGCACAGGCCATGGAGGAATGCTGCTTATTGGCTTGCTTCTTTGGCCTGTACTCAGCCTGCTTATACAATACAGAACAACCTGCCCAGGGGTGGCACTGCCCACAGTGGGCTGGGCCCTCCCACATGACTCAACAATCAAGAAAATGCCCCACAGACCAGCCCAATAGAAGCAATTCCCTAATTGAGGCTCCTCCCTCTGCCCAGGTGTATCAAGTTGATGACTGAAGTTACCACAGCAGAAAAATCAAGGACTGCCTAATTTTCCAGATGTTTACAGAGACAGCTGCTTCTAGCTTCATATTAATTCTCTAAGTTTGTGGGTCTCATTCTGAAATTAACTGATCTACTACAGTTTTCTAAGTGGTCCTCATGATTTTGAGGCCTGAACCTGCTGAAGTCTCAGCATCCCACTGACAAAATAAGCCATGCTTATCTCCCTTTTCCCTGATGTGGGTCTGTGAGCCACCACTGCCAACTTGTTTCTGTAGACCATTTACAAATTACAGTTTTATTTGTCTTTTTTAAATACATCTTGGATCATAGTCCCCAAAGTGGCATTCCTGGGTTAAAGGGTGTGATCACATAGGACTCCCTAGTTATTCCAGAAAGATCTCAGAGATAGGTTTTGCAGTTTAGATTTCACTTATCCATTGCTCACATGATGTCTGGAGCCAACATGTCACTTGTTGGCTTTATTTGGGGCACTCAATTATGTGTTGTGTTATATTGACTGCGTTTATTGGATATTCATGATAATCAATTGATATCACACACTGCCCTTCTCATAATGATCTGCTTTAGTAGTCCATGTGAAGGTTGAGGGCTTGGCTTTGTTCTGGCCTAACAACACACTACTTAGACAATTGCTATTGTTACTGTTGTTAGTATATGTGTCCCTGGGAAACAGAAATGAATTTGCAGAGATGACCCAGCTAGCAAGTACCTGGGGCCTCGAATAGTTTGCAGGTGTGCAAAGCTGTTGAATTTGAACCTTAACTGAATTTCCTTCTAGTGTCAGAGATGAATAAAATATAGTTCCTCTCCCCTATACCTCATCAAAGGGCTGCTGTAGCACCACCCTTTGCAATTCCAGGGTGTTGAAGTGGCAGCTGGGTACCCACAGTTTAAACCTTTAGCCTTGGGCTTAAGGATCTTGAGGCCTTTGGTGAGTAACAGGATTAATCCTCTGGGCTGTGATGGGGGCACCTGGAGTTAATGGCTATCTCTGAGGAGGTAAATGGAGTCTGTTGAGGTTGAATCTGTTGAAGAAAAGCTGCTGTCTTCCCTGGTGGCAGTTTATTGAGTTTTTTTTCTGCTCTCCAGGGGCCCCTGTTGTCCTCTATAATCAGAGTAGTTACTATTGAATGAATTCAGGGTAGTCATTGTATGCTTTGCTTAACCCCCAATAATATATATTGTGGGACCCTTAAGTAGTGGGTCTGTGAACCCAGCTGAGATATGAGATGATCAATAGTCACCAGAAGACAGTGGCATATCTGTCAACAACCCACAACTCCTGAAAGGCACCCTATTTGTGGTTCATCAGAAGGTGGGCCCACCCTACGTTCCTTTCCAAATTGAAAACTTGGTTTAGTTTCTTGTTACAGCCCGAGCAGTTCATAGTGAGGCCTTTGCATGTTTAGTTCTTGCTGTTTGCCAGAAATCTGAGTTTTGGACAGCCCAGCTAACTTAGAGAGAAAAGAAGTTTTCAGGCCCAAGAATGGAAATTGAGGCTGCTAGAAAATTGGGTAGTAAAAAAATTTTAGGGGACTGGGGGCTGGAGAGATGGCTCAGTGGTTAAGAGCATTGGCTGCTCTAACAGAAGATCCAGATTTGAATCCTAGCACCTACATGGTAGCTAACAACCATCCATGACTCCAGTTCCAGGGAATCCGTCACCCTCTTCTATCTGCCACAGGCATTGCACGACATGGGTGCACTTACATACATGCAGGCATAACTAACTCATACACATAAATTTTAAAAAATTTTATTTTTCTTTCAAAAAAGAAATGTGGGTAGTATAGTCATTTGGTCCCTTAGAAGAGAAATTCTTTCCTTTTTACAAGATGCAGCTGACCCCAGCGCTTACTTAAGTCACCTGCACTAGGGCAGTCTAGGAGTCCATATTGTGTAAGTAGACAAGACTTTGATTCCCTGCAGAGTTTACTATGACACCCAACATCTTTACCTTCCTCCCTTTAGGCCCATCATGGCCTTCGTTCTATTTCCTGAACTGGCTAGCAAAAGCCATTGCGTTTTTTTGGACAATGTAGTCCAGACCCAAAGAGTACTTAAAAAGTAGTGAAGCTTCATGCACTGTTGGAATTAACAAGTTTGGGGGCCATTTGCAACAACATAGGGGCAAGGAGACTTGCTTCTGGTCCCACGTGCCATAGATTGGGTATTAAGAATTTCTGTGCCTTGGTTGTCTTAATGCTGGAATAGGAATAGGAAAAGTTCCCACCTTAAAGGTGGTTACAAAGATTAAACAAGTAAATGCTTTTTAAAGTGGTTGGAATAGTTCAGCCTGGAGCTGTGGCCCCAGCCTCTTAATTTCTTTTTCTTCATCTACCCTGTGTTATAACCTGTCCTCTGTCCCCCACAAAGTGAACGGAAAGAGCTATTTCAATCTGAGACTGAGTTGCTACCTGCTTGGAAGCGAGGCTCCTAAGCTATTTCAATCTAAGTGGTTGCTAGTTCCTACTTTTGTAATGATGACAGCTGCCTTTCATTAGATTCTGTTAGAAACTAGTTTACATTACTGTTGTAAATCTACATATTTATTAAATGTGTCCTTGAACATGGAATAGACTCAGATTATCATATAATAAAATAACATTTCTCCAGGGACTTTGAAGTGATCTCGAGTTTTTAGTTTTTAGTTTGGATGGGAAACTGACTCTGCCTAGGAGAGAGTTCCCTGGGCAAGATGGTCAGAAAGCCAGGTGAATCTCTATGGGTGGTAGCGTTGAAGTAGGTGTAGGTAGCTGTGTTTGGGGTAAAATTGGGAACTGCTAGGTGTTTTAATTGTATCACTTAGTATGATTTGAGGCACAAGAAAAACACCATTATGTATGACTGCTGCATATTCAGTATGCAGGTAGCCCAGGCTAGCCTCAAACTCTTAATCCTCCTGCCTCAGCCTCCCAAGTTCTGGAATTATAGACATAGACCCAGCAATGGCCTTTGTCCTGAGAGCCTTCCAGCATTTGCCTTCAATGTGTTTCTTTGATAAATTGTCGATGTTTATTATATCTGTTCTAAATACTGTTTAGTTATAAAGCAATTATTTTTTTTTGTTGGATTTTTTGTTTTGTTTTTTTTGTGTTTTTGAGACAGGAACTGGAACTCGCTATGTAGACCAGGCTGGCCTCGAATTCAGAGGCTTGCCTCTGCCTCCCAAGTTCTGGTAATAGAGGCATATGTCCTCTTTTAGCCAGTCCTCATGAGGTAGAGTGTCTGTGGCCAATTTTTCTTAAACTGTAAGCAAAGAAATCATTTAGCTTTTTACCTAGTCGATTCTGGTGATAATATTGAACTATACTCACAGTACCTGACCCCCAACCCGAAACTGGGTTTTCTAAATAGTTCAGGAATCCTACATTGTCCTCCTCTTTCTTGGTACCACTTACGCCTACCAGTGTTTCTTTCTGTGCTGAATGATGAGGTGGGCCTACTCAGCTTCTAATGTCTAGTGTTTTCATGCCTCTGATCTGCTAAGCATTGTTCCAACCAACTTTTATTCTAATCCTCATTGCAAATCCTGTGAGACTTGATGTATTTTTGAGATAGTCTCAGTATATAGTGCAGACTGGCCTCAAACTTGGGATCCTCTAACCTCCACTTTCAGTGTTAGTGTTACTACTGGTGGAGGCTTTGTATTTTTCCACATTACAGGTGAGAAAACTAAAGCTCTAACTTGCCTCAGGTATACAGTGCAAGCTCTGCCTGGCTGTCACACATGTCTACCCTGCAGTGAGCAGACCACTTGTACCCCCAGCATACCTATGTCTGTGGCCCAACTTACATAAACATCATGAAGCATCATAAAGGGGTGTGTGTGTGTGTGTGTTTGTGTGTGTGTGTGTGTTATCTTTTTGTCACTCAATTCTGTGGTCTTGGGGTGCGAACTTCAGCATCACGTCAAAACGCCCAAAGGTTGGACTGATCCGTGTGAAGTATTTTTGTGTCAGAGTCAGGCTACACAATTTGTGAAGTAAAATAAGTCTGTTATAGGAGAGGTTGTGGGAGTGACTATCTTCTACTTGGTTTATTTCTTGTATTGTTTTTCTCCAGACTTTACTCATTTGTGCCTAATTAATATGACATCGAAATTTCCTGCTACAGTGGGACTTGATTGCACAGGCTAGTTGTAATCTAAGCTACTCAGGAGGCTGAGGCAAGAGGATCCAGGTTCAAGGCCAGCTTGGACACCTTAATGAGCTCTTGTCTCAAAAGTAAAAATTGGGGCAAGGGACACTGAGGATATAGCTCAGTGGTAGAATACTTACCTAGAATGTGTGAGGCCCTAGGTTCAATTCCCAGTACTAGAGGAAGGAAGGGAAATTTTTTTTTTTGCTGATTCAGAACTCTTGGGCCCATTTGCTTTACCTGTTCCAACACCAGAGAGCTTTGATTGGGGCTGAAGGAGGCTCTTTCTGCAGTTTCTTTAGATATTCCTGTAATTCTTTCCCGACTGTTATTTCCCAGTGTGGATCAGCAAAAGCTTGCTTGCTTTGAGGGGCCTGGGCCCAGCCAGTGTTTTGAGGCCTGGAAGCAGAGGGAGGAGGTGCCCTAGGAATTCCTGTTGCCTTCTCTCCTGCATACCTAGGGCTCACAGTGCCTGCCATAGAGCAGGTGTGTGTACTTAGGTCAGGGGAATTTGTCAGGAGCCAGCCATGTCAGGAGATCCTTGGTGACAGTGGACATTGGCCCAGCTGTGCTCTGTCAGAAATGACCTCACCCACATCTCTTCCTTTTGCTTCAGATGTGGACAGATGGACACTGAGCCAAACAACACCCCAACCCACGGCCACCACTGGGACCCTGCCCTCAACGTGGACAGAGAGGTCATTGGAGGAGCGATTGTCCTTCTTTGCCACATCAGGGTAGGCCAGTCTCCTCCCTGACCCCATCCACTTTGCTGGAGTCTATCACCAATCTTCTGGGCCTGGCAGCCAAAGACTGATGGGGCCCTGGTTCCTCAGCCCCCATCTCAACCATAACAATCACTCTGGAGGAGCCCAGGGTAGTGATTACAGTAGCTGGTAAGTTTATTTCATGGTCTGTCCTTCCCTCCTACTCTGGTAAGGTTTTTCCCTCACAGATCTCTGTGATGGGGTAGTATGGGGCGCGCTGGGTGCCAGGTGTGGGGTGCGCGGGTATCTGCTCCTGCACTGCTTCCCTGCGTCTTCCGTGGTTCTCTGCTGCTGGGGCTTTGCCCAGCCGAGTCCCGCCCTAATTTCACCCGTGCACTTTCCTCAAGATGTGAAATCCACCGGCCGCTGGATCACGTGGGAGAGTGTGAGGGCAGCTAAAGCTGGGATCCGAGAGTCGGTGATGGAAAGACATCTCTTCCCGGGAAGGCTGGATCGTAGGCAGTGAGACAAGACTCAGCTCAGTCAGACTCAGTGTTACAGCTCTTTATTCAATGGCTCTGCGTGGCTCCAAGCCTCAGTGTCCCAGAGTGATCCAGCTCCTTCAATTATTGAGGGGAATCAGGGAACTTTATACCGTGGGGGTAGTGGTAAAAGCTTCAGCTGATAGGTACTTTGGGGATGCCTCATTTGCGTGTGGAAATGGGCTCCTGCCAGGCTGCCAAACTGCTTGAAAATCACACAGGAAAGCCTAATGGTTACAGAGCCGGAGGCTACATTCCTGTGGCTGCTACTTCACAAAGGAGTCAGGAAAAATGCCGGGAAGATGCCCTGCTGTGAAAGGAGTCTCTGCATATGGCTCTGAGCTCGTGAGCTATCTGGACATGAAGAAACTTCTACTTTACACAACAGAGGTCCCCAACAGGGTAGATGGAAAACCCCATTCCCCTAAAACAAAGGGGACCCTTCTGAATCTGTAGATCCCCTGGGACCAATCACAGCAGCTTCCATGCCATCAGGAAGGCCCTCCTAGAGGTACCAGCTTTAGCCCTCCCTGACCTAGAATCCCCATTTCTCATATATTTAACTGAAAATAAGGAACTGGCTCTGGGGGGGGGTCCTTGGAAAAATGAAGGGACCCACCTTTGCCCCCCATGGCCTATCTCTCAAAACAACTAGACACCACCATCAAGGGATGACAGCCTTGTCTCCGTGCCCTGGCAGCTGCAGCCTTCCTAGCTCAGGAAGCTCTTAAACTCACCCTGGGTCAGCTTATTTCTGTTCTTTCCCCCACCATCTTAAGGACCTCCTCACCCACTCCTTTCTTAGCATTCTTGCTCCATCTAAGCTTCAACTCTTTCATGCCACCTTCCTTGAAAATCCCTCAGTTAGACTCCTGCCCTCCCCTTAACCCTGCCTCTTTCCTCCCTTCTGCTGTACCACTCACTTATTCATGTCTGGAGACTGAACATGCCTTCCACATACTTGATCATCATGCTTCTATTTGTAAAGAAAGAGGTCTACTTACCACAAAGGGGACCCCCATTATTAATGGTCCACTAATCCTCAAAATATTGGAGGCATCTTATCTTCCTGCCAAGGTAACAATAGT